GGGGTGGCCCAAAAGGGGACCCCGGGCGGCTGCCTCCTACCAAAAAAAATAACCGGCTTTAAAGAGGTCGAACTCGATCTTTGCCTTCACGGGCGTGTTTCGCGTCTGGGGGCCCCGTGAGCGAGACAGACATTGAGGCACAGCATGAGTGGAATATGGAGAGCGAGCCGCACGGCCCCGCTGCCGGGGAGGAAGCATCTGGACCCCCGGGCGCCGGGAATATCGGCTGCGGTGGCCACGCGGGAGGCTGCCTTTTACCTCCCCCCCCCGCAGTGGTCACCGAGTCCCCGGTACGAGTGACGCGTCGGGCCCTGATGTCTCTCTTCGGCCCTCGCCTTTTTAACAGCTTGGTCAAGTCTCTCCTGGCCATTTGCCTTGTTCATTTCCTTGTTGTACCTGAGGGTTTGCAGAAGTACTGTTCCGTCTCCTCTCAGACTGGCCTCTAAGAAGTGAAAAGTGGGGTCAGTGCCCCTTCCTACTCATTCCTGTACATTTTATTCTGCTCCCCACTCCTTAGGTTCTCCTTAAACACGTAAGTGCTCGGGTAACACCGTTAGGTTCTATTTGTAGCAGCGTTTGAAGAGACAGCCGCAGTGTCTGGAGAAGCCTCAGACACCGGAGGTGAGCGGCCTGGACTGGGATCGCCTGGGCGCCACTCACCGCAAGGTAACCCAGGGCCTCCCTGAGCTTGCCAGTTTCGTCCACCTTGGGAGGGTTATGTCCCAACGGGAATCTAGCTGAGAACCAGACATGTGACTGAAAACTTTTAGTAAATGAAATAAAGTGCTTTTTCGTGAGAATGCTTTTTAATTATTGTTTTACTGTTTCAGAACTAAATGCTTTCTAAGCAAATAAGTTTGCCTTGTATTCACTTCACAATCAGAAAAATAAATGACCTTCTCTGCCTCAATATGACAAAACTTGTTTGCTGGTGCCATTTGCGAGGTGGGACCCAATAAAACAGCATTTTTTGGTACCGGCCACCCAAGTGACTTTATGGTGTTTCCAAAAGACTTTTTGACCTGTGTACTGGAGGTCTCCACTTGTCCATACTGTTACGGTTTAATTCACTTACTGGAGATTTAATGTCAAATCTGTCATTTCCCAGGCAAAATATTCAAGGACAGAGGTGGGTTTCTTAGTTTCCTTAATCAGCCCCTGAGTCTGGGCTTCTCTTTCCAGGACTTGTGAACTCCCTGCTGGGCTACCAACTCCAAGTCACCACAGATTCAAAACCGTCCTCCTAGTTGAGACTTGGGAGCAGGGGAAAGAAAGAAATCTGCTCAAATCCAAAAGATCTGAATAACGTTAGTGTTGTTTTTTCCTAAAAAGGAAAATAGATTGGCCCTTTTTTAGCGTAGAAAGCCTTTCCTGTTGCAGAAGCAACTGTCTCCTGATGAACTTCCTTTTCCTGCCATCTTGGCAAGGCCACAGAATACTTTTCCTTTCTTTTCCCTCTTCTTTTATTTTCCAGAAGCCAATTCACTCTTTCTCCTGATGATTTTAACTCCTCACAGCACTTCTCTTGACTTCAAGTCTGAGATTAGGGGGTGGGAGGCTGGGGGAATAGACCTCACTAGGTACATGGACTCTATAGGACACATGTGCCAGCACTGTCCTCGCCCCTGAGGACACAGAGAGTCTGAAAATCCATTAAGAAACACAAAGCTCATGCCCTAGCCTGTTTGGCTCAGTGGTTAGAGCGTTGGCCCGAGGACTGAAGGGTCCTGGGTTCAATTCCTACCAAGGGCACAATTGGGGCCTGGGATTGGTTGCAGGCTCAATCCCAGGCCCCAGTTGGGGCTAGTGCTGGAGGCAACCAATTGATGTGCCTCTCTCCTATCGATGTTTCTCTCTCTCTCTCTCTCTCTCTCTCTCCCCCCCCTCTCTGTGTGTGTGAAAAACAATGGAAAAAATATCCTTAGGTGAGGATAAAAAAAAAAAAAGACAAAGCTCAGCAGAAAAAACAGACTTACAGACTTTACAATCCGTTGTGATATCTCTAAAAGGTGCTATATTAATTATTTGTGAAAGGTACTAAAGAGAACACATAGCTCAGGTCACCAGGAAGTAAGGCGTTTGGGAGGATGTGTAAGAGGTTCTGCCGTTTGAAGTAAGCTGAGCAACTTTGCCGCATTAAAAAAATAAATCATAAGGCCTAAGAGAAACTTAACACCAATGGATGGGATTCAGTTTTTCTTCCAGAGTGACTAAAGATGAGATAGAGGTAAGCAGGAGCCAGGACCAGAAGGGTTCTGTATGCCAGGCAAAGGAGTTTGGGCTTTGCCGGTAGACTAATGAGAAACTTTGAAGGATTTTCACTAGAGGTGTAAAGCAGATTTGTGTTTTTGAAAAATAATTCTAATTGTATGAGAGGTGAAATTGAAGATTGGAGAAGGGAGTGACAGGAGGCAGGGAGACCTAGAAACCAGTTGCAATGTTATTTCATAGACGAGGTGAGAACTGATTATGATCTGAATGCAGTGGCAGAGGAAATATATAGAACAGAGAACAGGTTGAGAAATATTTAGGATGCCAAAAGTTTATAGGACTTGGGAACTCGTTAGCTGAAGGGAATGGTGACTGATTCCTTGAACTGACCTTTTATGCTCTTTTAATTAGATCAATTATCCATTCTAGGAAGAATGGGAACATGATGGAGGTGAAAGAGGAAGAGTAGCAAATTATCAGACACAAAAGCAGGCACTCACTATTCTGGGTTCAAATCTGTATGGGCAATCATATTTAAGCAGTTTAGTCTACCATCTGATCTACTGTAAGAAATGACAGGCCCTGGCGAGTGTGGCTCAATTGATTGGGCATCATCCTGTGCACCAAAAGATTGCCAGTTCCATTTCCGGTCAGGGCACATGCCAGGGTTTCAGGCTGGATGCCCTGTGGGGGGCATGCAGGAGGCAGCAGATTGATGTGTGGTTGATCTCACAAGGATCTTTCTCTCCCTTTCTCTCCCTCTCCCTTCTCTAAAAAAAAAATCAATTTAAAAACTCTTAAAAAAAAAAAAAGAAATGACACGGAAAAAATTCAAAAGTTAATAAAAACCAATAGAAGTTAATAAAGAGGAATAATCCACAGTCCTATATTACAAGCATATCAAAATTTCCCTATTAGTGCAGGGGATAACACAGGTTATCACACATGCTGCAAAACACCAGTCATATCCATGGTTCTCCTAAGAAATAAAATTCATCTTCTCCAGAAATTCTTCCTTAAGGGCATATATTTCATCCTTTTGCACTGTATACTTATTTGCTTACATCCTCCAATTCTGTCTTATGTTCCCATCTTCTCTCTCCAAGTAAAAAAATAAGCTTTCTAAAGTCCAAAAGCATGTCTACTTTTCATAT